CAGCAGGGCTAGTAGCACAGTACTGCTTTCACAGATCAGGCCTGTTTGATCCCTTTCCCCCATTGATACTACTGCCAGTGGCTTCTGGAGGAAATATTGCAAGACAGAGGTTACTGCGGTGTGATCAAAGCCCTGCTCACATAAAAGAGTAGAGCTTTGCTTGCATTGTGGCAATTGTGGCAAAAACTTTTTTGGCCATCACTTTTTTTGGCCACGCCATTGATATATATACAGTTATATGTATTCAGATCTAGGTTTCAACCAAACATTGTTTCTTCACCTTCTTGAAGTGACTACATTCTAAATTTATTAATAATTTTGGGTTCTAGATCTACAAGTCAAACAATTCTCCTTTTCATGATCTCTTTTTCTACTTGATGAAAGATAAAATTAGAGAAACACAAGCTTATATTTTTCCTTTTCACTTTTAATGAATTACTATGGTTAGGCATGTGTGTCTGGATGTAATTTAATTAGCATAATTAGAGAGAGAGGGAGAGAAGGGCTGCAGTGATAATGATGTGGTGTTCAACTAATACATTTTTAAAAAGTCATGGAAATGAGAAAAGAATCTTATTTTGTATCCTACTGATAAATACGTTAAAAATCATCTATGGTTCACAATATTGTATATCAGTGTTTCTCAACCTTGGCATTTTGAAGATGGGTGAACTTCAACTCCCAGACATTACTGGCCGGCTGGGGAATTTTGGGAGCTGAAGTCCACCCATGTTCAAGATAACCAAGGTTGAGAAACGCTGTTGTAAATCATTTCCAAACACTCTTTAGAACTTCCCCCTCATGATATTTTCTACCTCAGTTTGATAGTCACATGCTGGTTATTTTGGAGGTTTGTTCCAGAGGTGTAGTGAAATGAAAGAAGAAAGAAAACTTTTTTCTACAATTTGTTCTGGGAGGTAGTTCCAGCATGAAGGTTGAGCAACGAAGAAAGAACTGTATCAGGGATCAGGAGATATTTGGACAGCAAAATAAACAGAAGAACTGGAAGATGGAGAATTACAGGTAGAAGAGTGGCAGGATTAAATTCTGTAATAATTTATGTGCAATATTATAGTTATGATATGAATAATATCAGCTAGGTGATTTTTAGATATGCTTCTAAAATTAATTTTTATTCTGTTTTCTTCTACATAAGAAGTAGCTTCTGTGTGATAGCCAGGTAGTCTGGAACATGTTCAATCGTAGTAATGTTAGTCATGACTTAGAAATCAATTTGAAGCTCATTTTTTAGTGTCTTATTTGAATTCCATCCCTTTATAGTTATGAGTTGTGCTTGCTTTCAGGGTAGGAGTAGGGTGCAGAAATCTCATTTTAAAAGTTTAATTCTTGTCTCATATTAGGTAAGCCATGCATGAAATATAGTTTCAACCAAGACTCCTATTTATTTTGGGATAACTCATCACCTCGACTTTATGGAGATTTGAAACAGGGTAATTGGTATAATTGCTGCTCTCATTGGTACATAAAAAGCTCTGGAGGCCTGAATGGGTGGTTTTTCACTGATGTTCTTAAAACCAGGAAGAATTCACTCTAATTGACTGCTGAGTTGATGAGATGGTTTGCCAGCACTCTCACACATTATGGAATTACTCCCTGATTCCTTCAATACATGGACTCCAGAGAATAAATCCATCAACTGGAAAAACTACAAAGAGCAAGCCGTTTCATTTAGATTTAGGGTGAACATACATAATGTTTTTTGTCAGCTTAAAAAAAGACAGTAGTGCACCATTTGCTATTAATCATCACAGAAGGAGGCAATGCAGTCAGTAATTTGTTCTGTTATCTTGTACATTTCAGACTTTGCTTCCTTGTTTTCAAAGGCTTACTCCTCGTTAACAGTTCAGAAAGCATTCTACCTCATTTAACTTTAATTATGACCATATAAGGCCACTGCTTGCTGCAGATCTTTAAAGCAAAATAGTATTCAAATTTTCTTGGAATGCCCATATATTTAATAATAGAGGTGGAGCTCTCGTCTCACAATCAGGAGGCTGTGAGTTCGATCCTAGTTAGAGGCAGATATTTCTTTCTCTGGGGACATTGAGAATGTATTGGCTGAATGTAACTCCGGATTGGCAACAGGAAGGGCATCCAGCCATTAAAACACTCTACTAGCTCCATTCACTAGCCCGGACTCCACCCCGCAAGGGATTATGGAGTCATTAAATGAAAATGTCCATATATTTAATAAGTACAGGTAGTTCTTGACTTACAACAGTTTGTTTATGACCATTCAAAGTTACAACAGCATTGAAAAAAGTGACTTATCACCATTTTTCACACTTACCATTGTTGCAGTATCCCCATGGTCCCGTGATCAAAATTCAAATGCTTGGTAGCGGATTCATATTTATGACAGTTTCAGTGTCCTGGGGTCTTGTGAACAGCTTTTGCAATCTTCTGACAAGCAAATGGGGAAACCAAATTCACCATGCAATTGACATAAACAACTGTAGTGATTTACTTAACAACTGTGGCTAGAAAGATTGTAAAATGGGACAAAACTCACGTAACAAATGTCTCACTTAACAACATAAATTTTGGATTCAAATGTGGCCATAATAGTTGTGTGTACTTAATAGTTGGGATCCATAAGATCCTATATTCTTCCTCTCCCAACAGCCCACTCGCTCACCTCTCAAGTTATTCGGGAAGACTCCCAAAGATCTAGAGGAGGAGTGCCAAACTCATGGCATCACAGCATCGTCATGTGATGTATCAGGACTTTTTCTCCCTTCACTACACTGGGTGGGAGCAGGGCCAGCATGTGATGCATCCGGCCAGCGGGCCATGAGTTAGACACCCCTGATCTAGAGAGACTTTTGTGGAGCGCAGATGTCTCTAGTGGAGCGAGAGGGCTCAGATGTTGCTATCTAAGAAAGGTACTTGAAGCTTCCATCTGCTAAGTGTCAACGTTTAGCCCTGGTGTTAATTAATATTTGGGCAGGAGACCACCAGGAATCTTAGTACTTGGAAGAGACTGGAAACTCAACAAAACATCTCAAAAGAAACAATGGCGAGCCATTTTAGTATTGTTGCCAAGAGAACAACATTGAAATGATTATAAATTCAGAAGGCATCAGCCTTGATTGAAATTTTACTTACAGAACAATTCTTCTTATACATACAGTAAGCAATGGTGAGGTTAGCAGGATTATACCCAGATAAATGAGCAGGGATTTGCAGCCAGATTCCAAGTACAATGAGTTGTTCGTGGCCTAAATAAAACTAAGCATTCACAGCTGCTATAAATAACACCTATTAATTTTGTAAGCGTCTGTTTATTAATTATATTTCTAAACTGCCTTGATAGCATATTTCCATGGGTAATGTACAAAGCTGTTAAAAATATACAATATCAAATACAGTTTTACATTAGCGTTGTCTGTTATTATCTAAAATAAACAATTTAGAGAATAATCCCAACAATTCTACTAGGCCAGGAAAGTTTCAAATTTGAACATTTAAGTTTTAAGCATTAAAAAACTATATTGCAGTAACAACCATATCTCTATGTCCATCTTTGTCTTTTTTTTATTTGCAGAAGATAAAAATAAGATGTAGACTTTATCTATAACTATTGCAACCTGATAAATGATTGCCATAAGTTGAAATAATGTTTCCTCAGAAAATTGATTGTAGCAATACAATCTGCAAAATTATTTTAAATTTATCAGTCCCATTTTAACATCTTCAAGTAGTTAATTCGATTTCAGAAGACTGGGTTAACTGGCTATCTAAAGCCATACTTTATTATGGCTTACTAAAACAAATCATATTTGCTCAGGTTTATGTAGCATACAGAATTATAAATTATTATTTAAAACCACAGTGACTGATTTTACGTACACAATGGTCAATCTGTGGTCAGTGTTAATGTGATTGAGTAGCTGACTCACAGTAACACAACTTTCTGCTTATTTATTTGAAATTAAATTTAGAACTCTTCACAAAAGTTAAACCCTATCATGAAATGTAAGGCATATGCGAAAAGGAAGATGTGATCCATTTATAACCTTGGTGCCATATATAGAGATGCTTATAAGTGCTTACTAGTTGGAGTAATTCATCAAAAACTTAGTGTGTTTACTTCCACAAGTCATCATGTAGAAATATGTATAGAGTCTAAGACACATTAGTGGTCAAATGTATGTTTGATAGGCGGGCCAGGATTGGAACTATTTCCTGAAAACGACATGTAGCAATGGTATTTAGAAATGCATTATAAGCATATACTGTACATTTACGATACTGTGTTCAATATATTTATAAGGATCAGCAAAGAAACATTGAATTAAAATGTTGTTTCAACAAAGGCACTATCTCTGTGGCATGAGACTCTGTCTAAGAGGGCATCCATGTAGCCCTATATTTTACTGGAACAATTCAAGTACAAGGCCCTAGTGCCTGATTAAGCAATAATGTATCATAATAAAGGATTTGCCAGATTCTCTGTAGATGAGGAAAAGCAGATAAAAATCTTTAACCATTGTTCCATCTACATTCTGGGACACTCATAATTACCATATTTTATTGCTGACTTGAAAAAAATAATTTGATTCATAAAGATTCAGAAAAAGATATAATAACACTAAAAGTTGGTTGATTGGCAGGTAGGTAATTATTTATAAATTATAAGCAGTATGTAATAACAGCAACAATTATCAAAAGAAGAGATTGCATTGCCAACTTTACATGAATAGCCAGATGCTGTTCTACAGGGTTCGTACTCTACTAGGAATTGAACTCACAGACTTTTGCACTTGGATGACAGTACATGAGCTTTAATCACTACTTGAGTCCTAGAAGTCAGTGGTTTTAAAGAAGAGCTTATATAGATGCTGCTAGAATGGTGTATACATCTTCCTTTATGCTCTCAGAGCAAAGAGATGTAGTTGTTATATGTCTATTCTTAGAACATATTTATGAAACATACCCTGTTTTGTCTTTCTCTCCTACCCATATGACCCTTGCAGCTGGTGTCCAACATCCTCATCTTCATCTGCACAAACATTGTAGGGGTGTGTACACACTATCCAGCTGAGGTGTCCCAAAGACAGGCCTTTCAGGAAACAAGGGAATGCATTCAAGCTCGCCTACATTCTCAGAGAGAAAACCAGCAACAGGTAAATGATAATTTAATTTAATTTGACAATGAAAATGTAACATTTCTAAAGCCTGCCTCTGACTTTTCAGGCTCCATGGGCAAAGCCCAATAGGTCTCGAAGCTTTAATATCAGGGGTGGGATTCAGCCGGTTTGGTGCAGTTCAGGCAAAGCGGATGTTAAATTTACATCTGATTCGCTGAACCAGTAGTTGAACCGACCAGCTGGCCCCATCCACCCCGCCTCTCCCAGGAATCTCCATGTGGCCCGTTTTGGATTCAGGTGTGTGCAGGATACACATGGAGGCTCTGAGAAGGCAAAAAATGGCCCCCTTGGAAGTTTGGAAATGGCCCTGTTTCTGGCTTCTGGAGGGCCTCCAGACCCTGGGGGAGGCTGTTTTCGCTCTCCCAGCGGCCCAAGGGAAGCCTCCGGACTCTGAGGAAGGCAAAAAATGGTCCTTCCAGTAGTTCTGGCAGGCCACACCCACCATGGCCACACCCACCAGCAACCAGGCAGAGAACTAGTTGTTGGGATTTTTGAATCCCACCCCTATTTAATATCCCTATCAGATTAGAAAAGTCCATTATCTGTGGCCAGTGTGAAACTTGACTTCAACTTTGGGTGAATCCATAGGGTGCAGAGGTGTCAAACTGCAACAGTGATGGGCATGACATAGCGATTCTTGCACATGCACTGGTGTGGCATGCATGTACAAAAATGGTGAGTCTTCGATCAAAATGTTGTATCTACCATCTTGCACTGGGTGAATAACCAAAACATATTACAGTAATGTGCTGGAAAGTGTAACGACTGGTTTCATTACGACCGAAGCACTGCTCAGCCTTAAATGTTGTGGCATCTGTGCTCTCAAACCAGCTTGCAAAAATTCCAGAAACTTTTAACAATCAGTTTTTGTGAGTTGGAACAAGCTATCATAGAGCATAAGATGCCACACAAGAACAATTTCATAGATAAACAAATACTGTGACCCTTCTCACCTCTCAAGTCTGAGTGTTGTTTTCTGTCTGCTTTCAACAGTCATGGGCTTCTCTAAGCAGCTGTCTGAGCATTTGAAAATAATTCACTCTTACAAAGCCAGGGAAGACTGTAAAAATGTCTAAACACTTCCAACTAGCAATTTTGGTTTTGAGAAACACTGTTAAGAAATGCTAGGCATACAGAACTGTTGAAATCAAGGCCAAATCTGGAGAATTAGGAAAAAGTGATCAGATCTGCAAATTGACTACAGAGAAGCTGCTGTGAGGTTTAGTTAACACTAAAAGAGCCGTCCGTGGGTCTGCGGTACAGTTTTGCTTATGAAACACTGAACTGTATAAGAGAGTTGACAAAAGGAAACCTTTCCGCTTATCTCACCCCAAAAGCCATTGTTTAAAGCGTGCAAAAGAAAATCTTGATAAACCTGAAATATTTTGGAAAAAGTGTTTTGAACTTATGAAATAAAATTGGGTTTGTCCACAGCCATCCAAGATGCATTTGGAGAAAAAAGGATGGTACATTTCAAGACAATAAAACTTGCACTTATTAAAAGGTTGTCGTTTGGGGAGGGGCTCTGTTATATTGTGGGGTGTTCTGGCAGCCAGTGACACAGGAAATATTGGAAGGAAAAATGGTTTCAATGATGTTTTGGAGACAAATTATCAATGTGTCCCAGAAGTAAAGATCCCACAGTCCAACAGTGGGATCCTACCTTGTTCCACTACTGGTTTGGTGATCGCACGCGCGCAGCTTTCCCCATACCAGCTGAGGCCTGCAATGCCAATCAGCTGACAGGATAAAGAAGAGAAAAATGCAGGGGTGGGGGGGAAGGGCCAATCCTGCACTTTTCTTCTTTCTCCTCTCAGCTGATTGTGGAGGATATTTTTCCTCTCAGCTGATCATTGGAGGCTTTTTTTTTTTTTACTATACCAACACTGCCACAGTTAGTGAAGAAACTGAAATGGAAAAGAGATTGGATATTTCAACAAGCCAACAATCCAAAATGCACTTTCCAATCGTCCTTATAGAAAAGAAAGATAATGACTTTCCCAATTCCCAGACTTGAGCATTCTTGAAAAGATGCATGCAAGAAGGCCAGGGAATGATACTAAGCTAGCAAGGGAGAGTTGGAGGGGGAGGGGGGGACTGCAAGGGAGAGTGGGAAAAGCTTTCAAAATCAAGAATAGAAAGATTCTAAACTGGTGAAAAGAAACTCTTTATTTTGAAAGCTGTTATTCCTGCCAAACGAGCTTCATAAAAAATACTGACTTGTTTTTTATTATTATTATTATTTTATTTTTAAAAAACAAAAATACAAATCTCTATTCACATTAACAGTGTTTGTCTCGTTATTAATACATACATCTCCTTTTATACATAAACACCAACTCTTATTTCTATCCTCCACCCATTTGTACCACCTATCTATTCCAAGCCGCATAATAGTCCGAATCATCTTTGCTTAATTCCATTGTGGAAAAAAAAATTCTGACTTGTAAGGGTGTTGAAACATTTGAACCTGCCATAGTTGTTATTTTTTACTTTGATTCTGTAATATCAATATCCAGATTTGTAGAAATTTGCTGCATTTAACTTTGAGGAGGTTGTGACAGTTTCTGTTCAGCTATTGGAACATAACATTTCACAAAGAGTGCCTACACTTTTGAAGGTGACTATATGTTGTAGCAGTGGCCCCCAATCTTTTGAGCATCAAGGACCGGTTCCATGGAGAGAGGTCGTTCCATGGGCCGGATGGGATGTAGTTTTGTGTGCTGCCTGCACCCCATAGATGGTGCTTTGCTTGTTTGCGCAGCTTAGTTTCTTTCATGCTGCGCCCAGTGCCAGTCCATGGACCAGGGGTTTGGGGATCTCTCTGTTATAGCATACAAAGAAAAAAAATTCAAGTAATGACTTGTTTCTCCTTTATAATACTTGCTCTTGCCTATCTTCTTATGGCTATATAGACAAAACCTAGCAAATATAAGAAAGTTGAATTTCACAACTGAGTTGGGGACTATGGACAGCTGTAACTGGAGAAAATCCCTTTCTGGATGATATCCCTGATTTTCTTATTTGACTAAGTGGAACGGAATCATAGATGACTTGATAAGGGCAGGCTTTATGGGAAATACGTTTGGTTCTATGTTTCCATAATGAAATAACACTTTAATTTTGCTACCATGATCTTCAAAGAGAAACATGTTTGTGTTGTAAATTGAAACAAGAGCAGGTGTCTTAATTGGTTTATCTGTCTGATTCCACAGGAGCGTCTCCTGCTTTCTGTACTGCCTCGCCATGTTGCCATGGAGATGAAAGCTGACATTAATGCCAAAAAAGAAGATATGATGTTTCATAAAATTTATATCCAGAAACATGACAATGTCAGGTATGTACTGAGGGAAAGGAGTGGGGTGCGTCCATAATTCAGCATAGCAATTTTGTAAAAAGGAAGGAAATAGGACATGAGATATGCATGTCCTCTGCTTGAGTTTTTGTATTCCCATGCCAGAGGTGCACAAAGAGTGTCTGCTTGTGAGTTTGAATGGCATACCAGAGCCAAAGTAGATAAAGGAAAGATAAGCACATGAAGTACATTGAATGTGATTATTTCCTATGTGTTTAATATTTTCCGTCTTCTGCCACATTAAATATTACAAGTTGGTTAGGAATTTTGAAGGGATTTTGTATAGCCAAGACTTTGGAAGACTACCTGAGGTCCTGGCACTTTAGGTTACATATTCCCAGGCTATACTTTTTTATTCCAAAGTAGCAATTAGGCATTGTTTCAAGAGTTCCTCTTTGTTTGGTATATCTTCCCAATTCAGAACACCTAGATATCTCTTGCATGGAAAAATTGCATGGGAAGACCAGAGCAGTATTAGTTAGTTTTGCTCAAATATGATATTAAGCCATAAATTATAGTTTCCAAACCACAGGGGCTGAATTCATATGATGCAGTTTACTAAGCTAAAACTGAACTGAGCTATAAACTTCTGGTTTTGATAGCTTGGAGTTGAATGAATTGGTATTGTATTTACCAGTTTTCTCTTTCCCGAATTCATGGCCTGTAGAAATTGGAGGAAGGGCAGATTTTTTTGTTGCTATCACTTTTATGTAAAAGATCATTCAGGGGCAGGGTGTGCATATTTTGTGCATATTTCATATAACTACATTTGGGTGGTTTATAGATCTTTATTTATCTTATACATTTAACCAGCAAAATCCAGAGAATTTAGGATGTGAAATGCTGATGGATTTCTCTATGAAAGAAGTAGAAAGGGAAAGCCTGGCTCTATAGTTAGTTTTACTTTTAAAGGTTTGAATCTCCTTTATTTGAGTGGTAAGCGGGAGGTATTTTTCTTGCTTAGCAAGCAGTGATTGTATCATTTATCCATCTGAGTATCTTAATTTGTAAAACACTAAAACTAGAATGTTTGGTTTTAACTGGCCAGATTCCAAAGAGGCAGATGAAGAAGTTCTGTACCAGCACACAAATAGAAATGCTTGAATTTAGTCTCATCAAACTGTCTGAAAAGAAATCAGTTGAAGTCAAAATAGCACAGCATGGCTCATCAATGCGTTACTGTTTACGCTTTTGAATTAGAAATAGCCTGCCCTAATTGGTGTGGTTAATGCCAGATTGGCAACTGTTTGGGGCTTTTATGCTGGGTTTGGAATTAGACCACCAACATCAGAGCCTTTAGACAGCACCATCACTGCCTTTAAGTCATATTTATGGATACCAGAGAAGCAGACAACTGCATTTAAAAAGGGGAATTTGCTGCAAAGCAGGGAGATGAATACATGGTCGTTCATAGGCCATTAGAAACAAAAATAGCTGAGAAAGATAATATAAGCCAGAACAAAGGCTTCAATATACACTGATGAAATCATTTATTATATTTAGATAATTGTGTTAACAATAAAACAATAGCTCTTACAGAGTATTTGACTCTTAACCATCCAAAGATAAAATTTACAATTCAAATAATGTATGTGTATGTGTGTATACACACATATAAAGTACATACACTTTATACACATATATAAAGTAAGTGTGTGTGTGTATATATATATTTATATATATACACATACACACAGTACATACATACACACACATACATATATATGTACTTTAAAAGCACAACTATTAAGATGTGGGAAAATATCCGAAGAAACCTAAATACCATACATATAAATACCCGTGAAAACATAAGAAAACATACACACGCACACACACACACCCATACACACACGATTCTTGCTCATACTGTGCTTATCTTAGTCTACCTATGCAGATCTGCATGTGACCAATTGCTTTTGGTGACTAAGATATCTTCTAAGGCAATTAAGGATATAAGTGGAAAATTCTAATTTCATCCTCCTCCTCTGACAAGTTTTGATGTAACCCAAAGAACAAATATGGGCTTTTAAGAACTTGCAATTTCAGTAGGTTTCATTGCACTGAGATATAAATGATTCTTCAGAAATTAAGTTTGTCTAGTACAAACAAAACTGTTGATGTATGGTCACCTATGCAAATAATGAAGGTTATGTGATTTTTAATACATCATTCAGTACTTTAAGTAAGCTTAGGTTGAAGTAGCTGACCTAGCTTAGATTCAATCACCCTAACAATTTATTTAATGTTCAGTTTATTTTTTGCGGAAGAAAAGGTTTTAGTTTTTTATTCACAGAAAAACTTTGAATTGTTAGAGTAATAACTTTTCATTAATTTGGAAAAAAAGTGCCATCTTGAGTAAAAGTCCAGAAGCCAAATATATGTCAGTTCTTCTTTCTGTGAAATCATTGTAATGTGAACTTTGGGAAGATAATGACAAGCTAAATATGTGCATTTACTTTTCATGGCAATGCTGTGAAACCCATGTCTGTATGAGGAATGGTCCTGGCACATAACATCCCAAAACAAATACTACATAACAATTGAACTGTCCACTCAGGACATCCATAGTCCTGCTCCAGTTTTGCTTTCCTCAGACATAATTCCACAGCCTCTTCTGTGAATTACAAAATGAAACAATTAAAATGTCTGTATGAAAAGGCATTTTTGGAGAAAACTTGATGCAACACAGTGTAAGTGTCTCTGCCCATTGATTTTATACAACAGGGATTCCTATTCAGAAGTAGAACAAGAGCAAAACCAGTGTAGGAGCTCTGGCAGCGGTGGTATTCAGCAGGTTGTGTCCAGTTCTGGAGAACCGGTAGCGGAAATGTTGAGTAGTCCGGAGAACCAGCAAATACCACCTCTGACTGAAGATTTTACAGTATCCTTCCCCTGCCACGCCCACCAAGCCATGCCCACAGAACCAGTAGTAAAATTTTTTGAATCCCATCACTGAGCTCTGGGCTATATCCAGCCTTAAGTGAGGGGACTTTAAGTGGTACATCACAGCCTCATGTTCTCGACTAACACACTGTTCAGTGAAAAGACCCCTTTTTGGGTGTCAGTTATCTTAATTTTGCCAAAGAAGATGCCTGAAGGAGGATCTCCAGCACTGAACTTAAAATTCCAGGCAGATTCAAAAGGGAAGTTAAAGGAACCTTAACATTTTTATAATGATTACCATTCTATGGCAGTAATCTGTTGCTAGAGATGTAATTATGACCTTAAATTGTAGGCCATAGCCTGCCTGGTAGTCTCTGCTGAAATCACTAGTTCTGCTCCCCGTTTCCCCATTAGAGGGATGGAGGAAAACATTGAATAGTTTTGAGAGAAAATGGCTTAAAAGGGCGTCTGCACCTAACAGCAATCTTTATAATAGATTTGAAAGTAGCTTCAAAAGTACAGTATATTAAAAGAAGATGAAGAATCATCTGCTATTAAAGGAAATATTTTTAGAGTATTGCTGGTGCCAAAGTTTTTCTTCTTGAGTTTACATGACTTTATAGAAAGCATTTATAAGCAGAAAGGTCATTTGTGAAGAAGTGTGAAATATCTTTGGAGGGGAAAAAAATGAAGTTTCTCCTGAAAGAATACCGACTGACTACCCTTCAACCAGAATAGAAGAAAAGGGCCTTGGATCATTGTGGTTTCCTAAGAAGTGAACATAGAATAGTCTATTGATGATCAACGTGTATTCAAAAGTGCACGAAAGAAAACTACAATCATATTTGAAAAAATAATATGAAAAAATAACTAGAATGGATGAATCGTTATCCTAATTGTTTTCTATCATCTACAAGTATCAATTGTCCCCTAGAACTGAGATATATCTAAACAGAGTAAATCTATTTAAATTAATGGATTGTATATTATTCTTGACAGGCTTAAGTTTTAGTCATGACAATGAATATACAAGTAGCCCTTATTTAACAACTGCAGTTGGAACTCCATCACTAAGCAACACAGTTGTTAAATGAAACCTCACATAACCACACCCAACTTACGACATAAATTCCACTACAATTGTTCAACAAATCATTCATGGTCATTAAGTGAGACTTCATGTGACTGCGGCTTGCAACTTATTGCCAGCTTCCTCATTCAATTTGCTTATCTGAAACCAGTTTGTGCAGGTTGCAAATGATAATCACATGACCTTGGGACTCTGCAGTTGTTGTAAATGTGCATCAGTTGCCAAAAGCCCAAATCGGGATTACATGACCATGGGAACACTGTGACTATTGTAAGCTCAAGTACTTTTTAAAGCACTGTTGTAAGTTAAACTAGCAGCTAAATAGGGCAGTCGTTGACTGAGGACTTCCTGTATTCTAAATATAACTAAATCTTGATCGAATCTAAACCTGCTGTAAATATAGATTTTAAGAAGGTTCATACAGTGTTGGATCTTTTCCCCAAAGAAGACTGTATTCCTATAATGTAGCCACACAATCCTCTTGGCTGGACCTTATCATCTCACTTAAAAGATCTAAGAATCAACAATAGTCTTTCCAACATCCTGTGGACATGCCAGAGTGAACCTATCCAGGCAGTAGAGGCATGTGTTTTGATAAGATAGACCTAGTCCCAATAGCAATATCCAAACTGAACTTTATCTTCCACACACATGCCTCTTTATAGAAACTGGTGTTGAAATTTCTTCTCTGTATGTATTGCTGAGCATTTGGATATATGAGCATTTTTGTCTTCATGATTTTGCTTCTAATAGTTTTTCACCTTGTAGGGAGATGTGTGGCATGCATAGGTAGGTAAGTAGAGAAAGGAAAGGAGGAAAGAAAAAGAAAGAAAGAAAAGAAAGAAAGAAAGAAAGAAAGAAAGAAAGAAAGAAAGAAAGAAAGAAAGAAAGAAAGAAAGAAAGAAAGAAA